GTATTTCTGTAATTGTTTTAAACTATTATAATGTATTGAATGTTATGTAATGTATTGCTCCGGGACAAGGAATTTTACAGGCATCAGCCACCGACTACAATGTTTAAAATAAAAAAAAAATTCAGCAAACGCCAGGAAAATATACATTGTTGTGCTCACATGACCCAGGTTAGTTTAGTCAGATATTTGAAAAAATAATATTTTGTGTATATTTTATTCAAATTGTGTGCTTTATCCTTAGGACCTGTTTTGTCCCTATTCTCAAGAATCACTGAAAGGTGAGAGCAAGAGCTTAGCCTCCTTTGAATGTTTGCACGTTTGAGGATTCAACGATTCCTCAAACGTGCATGAAAGAATAAAACAAAAAGCTCAAGAAGTCAATTTTATATAACTCCTCATTTAAATTCTCAAAAACTATGATTCTTCAGTTAACTCAGCTCCAATCCTGCAAATTGTAGATGCGTTTTAAGCGGGATAGATTGCATTGACTTTGCCTTTTTTGCTTCCTGAGTTTCTTTAGATTAGGGAATGACATGCTTTTATATTACTTAATTTTTTTGTTTGTGATTTCTTAATTTGACGGGATGGGCACTTATCACAATTGGGTGTGGGTAATGAATGTGAGCTCAGCTAGCCAAACGATATGGGGAATCGTGATTAACTTGCAATTTGATATGGAGGGCTTGTTTAATCATGCCTACTTACACTTCACCTAGAGCCAGGTTGAGTTGGAAAGTTGTTTTTACTTAAGAACAGAGGCTCAGTGGTAGAACAGAACCACCATACAAAGGCTGCAATTATCCCTGGCTTGATTCCATGGGCCATTTGCATTGTTTCATCCCTCTCTCTGCCCAGCTACAGATTAATAAAGACTACTAGCGCTTCAAAAACCTTTAAAAAGTTAAAATGCATTTGACATACACTTAAATATGTCTAAACCTTTTACGTTTACTGCACATTTATCTTTAACTAAGATGTTGCCTTGAAACTGTTAGTGTTTGTTGTTGTTTTTGTAATTGTCATTTTTGAACCAAATCTTAACACCGAGGAGGAATTCCAAGTATTTGCTTATAGTTCCTGGTGGATCATAGACAAATAAAGGTATTTTGAAATGAATGAGGTTGGAGACAGTGAGACAGTCACTTTAAATTTCTTAAGAGGGTTTATGGGGCAGAAATGCTACAACCCCCCAAAAAGTTAATCTTCACTTAGCTGTAGGGTCAAACTGGATGTCCATGAAAACACGGGCAGATCATCCCCCACAGACAAAGACTCTTACTGATGCTGACTGCAGCCTAATTATTGTCATAAGACGGCATCTGTGAGAGAAGTCCTTAAGGAACAAAACAAAGGTCATACATCCTCCACAGTCCAAACAGAGCAGTTTGTTGAATGGAAGAACAAAACATGGCAAGGTGGAAGAAATATCTTAGACAAATCTCCAGTGATCATGACATGACAAGCAGGTTCCATTTCAGGTATTTCCAATGCATCACAGTGGAGAAGACTCTATTGTGAAACTGAAGCTTTCTCCTTCATTGGAATAATGAAACGTCATGTTTTGCAGGAGCACTGGAGCAAGTCTGCTACGGTGAGCATCTATTTTGACTGAGGTTCCTCATAACTCCCATGTGATAAATGACTTCTTCCAAGTGAGTGGCATCCGCTTTTGAATCCTCCTGTTGTCTAAATCCTTCTACAAATATTTGGGAACATATGGCAAGCGAGATTTACAAAATCAGATTTCATTTCCAAACCATAGATGGATTTTAAGGATGATAGTTTTTATCCTGTGTTGAGTTGAGGCAAGACCTGTTTGAATTTGAGTCATTTTTGAATAAATTACATTTTCTTCTCTGTCTTTCTGCTGTCTCTCTTAGTCACATCCAAAACTCAATGTACAACAGGGTTTTAATCTGGTGGAGCTGAATGGGGGGAAAAATACCTGTTTCACAATACCAGTAACGCTTCGGTCAGTATGTATTGGACAGAAAAATATTACCTTATTTCTTGCAATATTTTCTTATACCTGATTTTATAATTTTTTTTACTTATATAAATAATTGTCTTTTTTTGTCCTTAAAGTACTTAAATTTCCACTTGACTTTATATTGTGGTGCATCTGGTAGTTGGAGTTTTAGCTCTGCAACTTCCAACTGGACAAAAACAGTTGTGAAGACCCACCACTCCTGAGTGTAGCGTTAAGGATTAAGAATGTGTCTCACCTGAGTCACTTTTCTTAAGCAAACAACATTAGTGATCGTAAAACTTTTTCAAACTTGGGTTAAAACTGCACCGTGAATGTAATTCAGAAAGTCCTACAGTAGATGGCAGTCTACTTATTTAGTAAAAGATGATGCCTGGTTGAATCTGCAGGTTTATCATGTGTATCTTTAGAGCTCTGACAAACAATAAAGATGCTGTAATTAAATAAAAAAGAAAGCTGCATTACCTTTTTAAACTGAAGCAATTCTACTTGTGCTTAAAGCAAAGTAAAGATAAAAAAGTCTTAGGATGCCAGGAGATACTCAACATCAGAGGCTTAGTAACCACAGAGACTGGTTGCATGGATCTAGACCACCTGAAATGTAATATCCTTTTAATGAGTCTCTTGACCAGCTTTCTCAAGGGACCGGCTGAGCATGTAGAGCTATACTGCTGACCTTCAAGTCAAGAGATTGAAACAGGATCCAAGAAAGCAATCTACTTGAAAGTGAAGCCATAATAACCAAGTCTATACAATCCAGTTTATTTTCACATAGCCTCAGTTCACTGAAACATCATTTCAAGAAACGTTGCGTAAGAATAATCCAATTGAAGTTCAGTTACCTGCAGTCAATCTCCATTATTGTCATTCAAGAGAAACCCCTATTCTCTATTTTTTCTTGGAAATTAATAACCAAAAAGCTTCTAAAAAATTAGTCAAAATGTCTGCATGAAAAATAATTAATGTATACAGCATGAATAACATGAATAACTGAGTAGCAAAGGCATAGGAGACACAATAATAGTTTCCATAAAAACATTTTTTATTTACCCCAAAAGATCAAAGTATAAAAAAAAAAACACTCAAAAAAGTTAACTGTCTGCTGTTACAATTTCTCTGGGATAAGAAATGGAGTTTAATTTGCTCTTGTGATAAAGAAGTCATGGCAGTCTAGTTCACATGAAAAGTCCTGGTCCTATTTAAAACATTTGCACATCTGATACATGCATGTGATTGTGTAGGTCACTGAGTAGACTATTTTAGAGATTGCGAGGTCCTTAACTTAAGACTACCCCATTCTACACTTAGGAAATCAATCTTGTTTAAAATGAGTTTGCATTTAGACATCACTTTTACACCTGATATATTTCAATTTCAGCCTAAATGACAAAGGACAGAAGAGTCCAAAGTAAACCGAAGCTTTCACCCAATGAAATATGGATGAATGTGGACCATAGACATTATTCAAAATATGAATCAATATAAATCTGTGCATTAGGTTCAAATAAATAATGTTTTATGACTGACTATGAATAGTCAAAACTATTTAAAACAGCTCTTTGTTCCAGCGCTGGCTTATTCATGGCCAAGGGTGACAAAGCCCTTGGCCATGCCTGCAGTCAGTTGCCGCAAATTTAGTTTTTTATTGCTTTGTTGCTTGGGTAGTCAATGGGGAGTGAGCACCTGCCTTTAATGTTCTATTTTAAGAAAACAATGCCTCACATGTTTGGTGTATCACAGAAGTAGGAAAATATGTGATACAACTACTGACATGACTTGGGATAAACACTGAACAGTGTCATTACAAATGTAATTCATTAACTCATGGCAGTTTTGTAATGACATTACCACCACTTTACCTCCTAAAGCATCTTGTGCTGCATTAATCATCAGCGATCCTCAACAAACAAGTCCAGTACGTCTAAAAGGATAGAGAGCCTGAACGCATCGTACTTAAAGTGTCCACTAATATTTATTACAGCGTAAGTAGGTCTCTGATGTTGATATTTTATTTGACCATGAGCAGTGACACCATTTTCATTTCCCACACCATGGCTCCCCCTGATATGATACTGATGGTGATTTGAGCTGAAGCACTGACTTGGTTCATATCTTCTGTTGTCCAGAAGATATCAGCCAGACATGGTGGCGGCATTGATTGTCTTCACCAACACCCAGATCTGCAGCCTTGACCGCAGCTGCTGTCTGATGAAGTCACCGTGGTGTGGGTGCTGGGTGAGGTCACTGGTGTGGGAGATGAATGGATGGAGGGCAGAATGGAAGTGATGATGAGGAAGTGACGTATGAAGGGGGGAAAAAAGAAGTGATGGACAGATGAGCGGGTGTTGGAGATGGAGAGCGAGCCAGATAATAGGACAGGCTCATGGCGTCCCTCTGTGGTATTCTGACATGTGGGATGATGCAAAGAGACAAAGTATTGTTAAAAAGCCAGAGGCAAGGGGTGGGGGGAAGATTCATGCTCAAAGCTTGGTGCATGTAGGAGGTATGGAGACAAAGGAGGAAAGAGTGAAAGTGATGTTTTCTGAGGCTGCTGGACAAAGAGTCCTTTGGTGTCGGTGTTTTCTGGTGCTTTCCCTCTTTAATCGCCTATAGACAAAAAAACAAGTTTAGCACAGATGGACAGGAAAGACTCAGCAAAAATAGCCCTTGAGGCTGAGTTACGTCCCTTTAGATTTGACTTTCCTTAAAAAGACATACAAAGGTCTTATCTCACCATGCGACTGCTGACCAGCATTTTGCATTTTTCCGCTGGTGTTTTGTCGATTTTATCTTTGCTGGTCAAGTCTTTAAAGTTGAAAGGCCTCCTTAGCATCACCCTAATCTCTAGACACCTCTCCAGATTCAAGACAGGAATCCGGATGGGCTATTTCAAAAGGCTATTTCTCCCCGTAAGAGGAACCTTGTTGGTGAAAACCAATTGTGAATAACTTTAAGATTAGGTTTATGCTGAAGCCATGGATCTTAGCTGGGTCCCAACTGTTTGTTGCAATGGATGTGGGATTTTAACAACCAGATTGTTGCTCTGGAGAAGCACAAGAAGTCAGTGACAACTGAGACATCTTTCTTGCTCAAGTGGAAACCCTGCCTGCATTGTTGCACTGCAGCCATCATCAAAACATCAGTAGTCGAAATACACTCTTGAAATATTTCATGGTGGACCGGCAGCTGCTGTGGATCAGCTCCCTTGAAGTAAAGCAACGGGTTGGGCGCCGGAGCTAATGCCAGCAGGCTTTCAGCTCAGCACGACAGGAAACAGTTGATGGAAGCAACAAGCCTGGTTTTGTCTAAAGTCAGAAATATCTGATTACCAACACTAAACATGTCATATTACATGCCACAGTACGTCTTGCTCCTTTAATCCGTTAAAGGTAACATCGATAGTTTAGACCTTGGATGGAAATATGAGACTATTCTATTCACGCGCTTTTAAAATGGGTCTTAGTCTGATGAATGAAGAATTGCTTAGGATGTTTTGAATTCTGGCTTTACATTACCACATGCTGTCTTTCCATAGAAAAGGAGTTCAACCCTGGAAAGTTGACTTAAAACGTATGCGTGGCACTGCTAAAAGCCAAGAAGACATTAGATCAGAATGACATTTACGTCATTTAACTTTTGGCACTTCAAGAGTTTATCTGAAATTTAATTTCCGGTTGGCTAATGCGAAAGTCGAATTTACAAGACGAGCAGATCTAATTCCCAACAACAAAGTTTCAACATCTGCATCTCCTTAAACTAATGCTGACTTCCCCTCCTTTTGTCCTAACCCTCAAGCCCTTGACCTTGAGTTAGAAATCCTGGTTGTGCGCCGAGACTGTACGCCTTTCTCAAAAAGCCTCTGTAACCATAGAGCAGTTCTTTTTGAGAGTTTGACTTCACACGATTAAGTAAAAGGAGGACTTTAGTCTCTTATGCCTATTTTTCCATTCATGCTCTTCCCACCAATAAGCTCTCTTCCTGCCTTTAATCTCATTGTCTTTGTCCTCTGGCGTCCACCATGAGCAGCCATTTGTAAGTCTGTGTACAGTGTTCATTCAAAAACCTATTAAAGCTGGCCTTCACTGAAAGGAATCTCCTTTTTGATTCATTATTTAGCTGTTGAGGGTTGTTTGAAGAGAACGGGTCGCAGTTTGTAAAGGAGTGATTTAGTATTACGCCACTGCCACTTTTGTTCTCTTTCATCTTTTATCTCATTATTTTCTCTCTTCTTTTTTTTTTTTTTTTTTTACTAAATGTTTCCTTCCAATAACAAGAGCAGGTTTGTTATTGCTTGTTTGTGGATATGGTCGCATTGTGTTTCTTAAAAGGTGGAGCTGGTTTGGGCCCTTTAAATGGTGTAAAAAGATTTAAGATGGTGACAATTTACAAATCCTTCCCTTTTTCACCGCTGTCTCTTTTCTACTCTTGCAAAAACAAATCCGATACTTTAAAAGTCACTGCTTCTACCGCATAACAACCATACCTGTTTTTCCCAATCAATCAGTAAATATTTGCTCATTTTATTCTGGTTGTCTGGCCTTTTACATCACCCTGCATCTTCCATGTGTGCTGTTTCCTAAATGTGCCAACACAATTGATTTTTTTTTCAAAATCCTGTGTCCTGCTTTCATCAGGATCTTTACTGATTATCTGATCTGACTTCAT